CTGGCGATCCTTCCACCTCAGCCTTCCAAGTAACTGGAACTACAGGTGCACGCTACCACATCCGGCTAATATTTTGATTTATTGTAGAGGTGAGGTATCGCCAAGTTGCCCAGGCGGGTCTTGAACCCACAGACTCAGGCAGTCCACTCACCTCAGCCTCCCAAAGTGCGGGAGTACAGGCTGAGCCACCCAGCCCGGCTTACATTTTTTTTTTTTTTTTTGAGACAGGATCTCTCTCTGTTTCCTAGGCTGGAGTTCAATGTCACCATATAACTCACTGCAACCTCGAAGTTCTTGACTGAAGTGATCCCAGTCTGAGACTATAGGCATGCACTACCACGCCCAGCTAATTAAAAAAAATTGAGACAGGGTCTTCCTGTGTTGCCCAGGCTGTTTATTTTTTAAAAGCAATTACCTTACCTTAAACAAAATCTTGTTTGCAGTCTAATACATAAAATGGACAAAATGGAGCAGCTCTGGTGATGGGGGACATAATTAGAGCTCATAAGATCTCCCCTGTCCTCAGGTAGCCTCTGCATCCTATCCAGGGAATCCAGGGCTCTGAGAACAGGGAAGCCATTTCTCCAGTTTGTCAGATACAGGGAAAGGATACTGTTTATAGAATACTGTCTCCCCTGACCCCATAGACATTTTGCCACCCTGAGAAGAACCATTCTCCTCATCAAGCATGTTAGTTACTAACTACAGGTCACTTATGTGCTGGATGCAGATGATGTAAAACATGAATAAGGCATAGTCCCTGCTGGCTAAGTGCTCGTAGTCTAGTGAAGTACTTCCCAACTTTTTTCCCCCTTATTGGCGTTCACAAAAAATGGTAATAACAAGACTTGAAACCTGAGAAGACTGGCCCAGAGGCTAGCCATCCCAAGCTTTGCCCAGCCATACAATAGCTGATGGGATCAGTGTCTCCAGTTGACCTGTACTATATTAGAAGCATATTGGGACGTTCCAGCTCTGGAATGGAAAACAAATGTGAATAAGTCATACTTTGGTAAATCCTAGAGTAGACGTGTGTTTGAGGTGCTGGGGGATCACAGATAGCTCTTATT